AAGCTAATACTAATTATAGGCGCGTGAGTAGGTAGTAGGGGCAAGTAGAGCAATAGTATTATTAGTTTAAGCCCTTAATATAAGATCCTTAAAATAATAGCAGAGCTAGTAGAACTGTAACAAAACTAAAGCTAGTTACAAAGGGCTTAGCGAACGTTAGGATTATTAGTAAGGATAGCTTCTAATTAAGTATAGGTCTTGTGGCCATAATAGTAGGACTTACACAAGCGCCCTAGATATAGTTAGAACCTACTATAAAGAAAATAAAAATTAAGGGGAACTTACTACTACCTTCCTAATAGTTATACTTACTAAAGAGATAAAGCTAGTTAATATACTAATTATAGAGAAGTAGCTTTATAAAACTACTATTATATTCCTTATTATCTAAGTTACTAGAAATAATAAAGCTACTAAGCAACTATGTTTAGGGAGATATATACTAAGCAAAAAGTTAGTGCAGGAAATATAGGGAGAATATTAGAAGTACGCACCTTATCTTAGTAGGCCTAGCGTAGGGTCTAACTACCTTATAGTAGATCCCTACTACTAGCACTAGTAGCGGTAGATAAGGATATAATAGGGGCTAGATAGGTAGGATTTAATAGAGAAAGAGTAGAGAGAGGGCTAATTAGTAGGGAAAATCTGTTATATAATAAAGTAAGTTTAGGAAATTTATAGTAGGGTAGAATAGCTATATTAGAACTTTTATAGTAGGGTGCTAAAATAAGCACATAGACGCTATGCGCGCGTAATACTTAATATATAGGCCTGTTATAAATTAGGAAGGAATATAAAGATATAATAATAAAACTAAAAAATATAGTAATAAAGCCTAATATAGATTATAGAGGATAAAGATATAACCCTAGACCCCTAGAAAGACGATTTCACGATAGTTTATAGGGGAAGGTTAGGGGTATATAAAGGGCTTAGGCTTATGCCTAAGCCTAGGTCTAACACAAGATAGACTAAGTCTAACACTACTACTAAGTGAATACACTAGACACCTATAAAAAGGCGTAGAGGGCTTACCTCTCCTTTAAGATACTAAATACTATTATTAACGCTTATTGCATTCTCCCTTAAGGCCAGTCTATAACAAGAACCCTATAACTCTTAGATCCCTAGAACTTATTAAAATTCTTCTCTAAGAAAATAGGTCCTTATTCCTAATAGAAAGAGTAGATTTGCCTAAGCACTATTAGATAGGAAATAGACTCCTTCTCTACTAGGATTAACTTTGCGTGCCTGCTAGATTAGTCCTATACACTAGACTAATCTATAAGGCTTATAATTAAGTGTCTACTACCTACCTATTAGCTACTAAAACCTATTAGATTCTAGCCTAATATTACTACTAGAAAGGTATAAAGACTACCTATAAACGCTACGTTTAAAACTATATCCTATATAGGAGAGGGCACCTAAGATAGCACTAACTCCCTAGCATACTCTATCCCCTTCCTATCCCTAGTCTACTAATGCAACACTTATGCATTAATTTTAAGGATTTTCCCTAGGATTAACGTGGTTATAATTAGATTATAGTTATTATTAATCGCCTATTAAAGCAAGCTATTACTATCCCTTACTACAAAATAATAGACGCCTAAGGTATAGCTACCTTATTTATTTAGTAGGTGTACTAATTTAGATATACTCTAGATACTATTATTTCTAATTAAGGCCCTTAGTTTATATCTAGTTTCTAGTCTAAGTTCTGTTAGATTATAGGCACTAAAGTTAAGCTCTCTACTACCTACTATAAATAAACTAATAGATAAACTAAGATTATAAACAAGTATATTAATTAGAGACTAAGGCCTTTTATATCCTATTACTAAGATAACTAGAGCAACCTACTACCTATAATAGACTATGCCTAAAGTACTCTTCTATATTTATCTATTAGCATAGCTCTATATTAGCTCCTCTTTAGCTCCCTACTAAAGTAAAGTTAGTATTAGAAACTAGAAAAGACCCTATCTACTATACTAGAGAAACTAAACTATAAGGACGCCTTATCCCTTACTACTTAGATACACAACACCTAGAAGATTACTAAAGAAAATATAGAAAGAGCTTAGAACTAAATACGGCTCTCTACTACTAATTACTATTACTATCTAGTTAACTAGAAGGTTAGTAACTATATTTATCTATCTACTACTAATCTTGCTATTTTATAACCTAGCTAAAAACTATCTAAATACTAGGAGGGTCCTCTTTAAGGTCATTAGAATAAGTAAGAAACGCGTATTACCTCTAATTGCTACCTAGTTCTAAGATCTATAATATTTTCTCTCCTAATATACTATATAAAGATCCCTAAGACCTATTACCTAGATAAGAGGCTCTAAAACCCCCTAGTACCCCTATATAAGGTATAAAGGAATAGGAGGTAGAAAAAATCCTAGCTAGTAAATTATATTAATCTAAGCTAAAATATAAGGTTAAGTAGGTTAGATATAATCCTAATCCTATTTAGTATCCTACCTCTAACTTTATAGGTGCTCCCTATAAATTATAGGTATTCTACTAATAGTATCTAAATTAGCTAGGTCCCCTATATAGCTTACTAAAATAGATTTAAGCCTAGGAGAAAGGTAAAAAGGATCTAATATTACTTTATAATAATTATACCTAATATTAGAACTAATTTATATCCTATTTAGCTATATATTATCTATTAACTACTATCTATTACTATTATTCTTATTACTATTTATTATTATATCCTATTTAGAACTATCCTAGAACCTTTAAGGTTCCTAGGACACTACCCCTAGGAAACCTCTTTATTCTATATCTATCTCTCTATTAGAACATAGTTTAGACTCTATATTAGCTAAGATAGCACCTAGACTACCTTTCTTAGCTAGCTTCTAGATAACTAGTGTAGCAGGTTTTAGAGCAGGTGCAGGAGTAGGGGTAGGAGCTAGGACTAATTTAGACTCCTTCTTGTAGAACACCTTTATCTTAGCCTATACTAGGAAGGTTGCCTCCTAATTTAGTACTAATTCCTCCTTAAGTTTATTAATAGCCCTTATTAAGCCCCTAACTACTAAGACTATCTTATAGATACTATTCTAAAGCTAATATAAATTAGATATAGTAGTATAATATATAGCTATAAGGATCTTAGTAGCTTCTATACCTTTAGTCTAAGTATTAGTAATAGTAACACACTTAGCTAGGTTTTAGGTAGTTTCTTAAATAGTAGCCTTAAACTACTTAATATCCTTCTAATAAGTAACTATAGCTTCCTTATCCTTATCCCCTTTAGTAGGGTTTACTACTAGGCTATAATACTTATCTAGAGCACCCCTAAGGGTAGAGTACTCTAGGCTAATAAAAGAAGGAATCTACTAGAATTAGTAAAGGAACCCTATTAGACTTAGATACTTACTAGATTATAATACTTATTCTAGGAGATATAGTACTAGCACTTCTTAGAATTCTTTAACTTAAAATTAAAATTATTAAACCTACCCCTAGCTAGAGCCCTAACTACCCTTATATAGAGAGCGTGATAAGTAATAGGGAGGACTCTTAGTAGTACTAGTACTAGTATAGCTAAAGGTTCTAATTTAGATTAGTAACTACTTAATTATATAGATTAAATACTTACTTAATTTTAGATAGATTAGGTTAAATAATTAAAAAATTAGGGATATAGGAATAAGAAAGTTAGTAGGTAGAGGGCTAGTTATAGGTAGGCTAAGGATAGGGGTCTATACCCTAGGGACAAGAAGTAAAGGTAAAGGCAGAGGTAAAGGTAGATTTATTTTGCAAGAGCTTTTCTTTAATAAGGGATCTAAACCTAATCTTAAGAATAGGGACTATCCTTTCTTTATAAGAGGGGGTAGTATAATAATAAGGTAGAATTACCTGCCTATTATTCTATACTAAGTTAGGCCTAATAAAGGCCTAACTTACTAATATATATAGAGAATAGCTCGCCTATAGTTAGGATAGGTATATTCTTCTTGTCCTTTTGTACAAGACCTATAGGTGTAGGAATCTTATCCTTTTCTATATAGACGCGCACTCCTATATGCCTTTAAGTCGTATAGGATACCTTTTGGATGCCCTACCTACCTAAGTTGTTATATTAGTGGCTTAGCAGTAAATATAGTTTATCTTACTAAGTAAGGGGGAGCACGTTTTTTATATATTCTATATCCCTTACTCTACCCTAACCCTTACCGTACTCTAACCCTTACTCTAACCTAATTCTTACCCTACTACAACCTTACTTTAGATACCCTAACCCTAGGTATTTATACTTATATATTTTTCACGTAAGATACATAGTGCTAAGTACTAATTTGCTAGGCGGTTAATGTACCCTAGTAAGGGCGGGGACAATTAGTCCATTGTGGCGAGGACAAATAGCACTTCCCGAAAGGATCGCTTTAACTATTACCGGTGAGATAGGGCTCTTAGGTCGTTTAAATAAAGCTTAGACCTAACTGCTTAGCTCCTTAGAGCCCGAGGATCTTTAAAATCGGCTAGTATACGGCATACCCATGGAGTTATGAAGTCCCAGTCCATTACCAAGTGGTGATCCTGGCTAAGCCAAACTAAGCCGAATGTTAGGGTTGAGAGTGGGCCTGCTAGGTGTGCTAGAGCTCATGGTGGCCATGTGCTAAAGTATAAGCCATTATCAAGCAATCAGGGGTGCTGATGGTCAGGTAGGTTAGCTTAGAGGTGCACTGTGCCTAACAGTACTCTATTATTCCGTAGACTGCAAATAAGCACATCAGGGCACGCAATGCTCCGTTCGGCTTGATTAGAATTATGATGCAACTGTTGCTCGCGGGTTTACACGTTCATACCATACTTAAACCAGCTGTTGTGCTCGTAGGTCTTTTCTCAGATACAACACTCAGCCTTCTCTCTCCTCATAAAATTAATATCTGCCAGCTTCTCTCATCCTATCCCTCAACACACGCCGCTTAATACCCACTTCCCTCGCCTTCATCAAGCCCACCATGAAGCTCCTAGCCCTAACATTCACCACCCTCCTCTTTTCAATCCAATCTGCGTACGTTCGAACCCCCAAAAGAAAGCCCATTTTCTCCATACTAACTTCCCCAGCCACGCCGCCCGTTTCCAATGCGCAGGAGTCAGCAGCGACCTCCACTACGACCCGAAGGGTGTAAAGACGGAACGATGGACCGGTGGGTCCTGCGGTGCACGGGTTAATGGATATTTGACCACTGCAGGCATAAAGAGCTGTTGCGAATTTGCGGACGATAAATTGCTCGCGTTCAAAAAGAATTGCTGGAACAAGAAGGATTACACTGATAAACACTCGAAGGCTCAGCCTCAACCTTGTTGATAGGGAATTTGGGCTCGGAATATGTAGACTTGCTGTTTGAGATTTTGTTTTATGGCACTTTTTAATCTTTTGCAATATTTTGTTTTCGAAGTCTAGATTGCTGGTGGCGTGCATTGCGGCGAGAGGGGAAAGAGAGGGGAACGGGGATGGATTGCTGGAATGACTGACGTAGTAACGCTATTAATAAACTCTCATAAACAGCACGGCTAGTCAGCTTTGCACCTCTTGAACATGCTCTACCGTTTACCTAGCGCAGACTTAGGCATGCATGATAATCCCATATTTTTAATAAAATTTATTGGTGAATTAGCTCATGCTCATCTTGCTGAGATTCGTTTCCAACCGTTCGCAGCTACATTATCATTAGAGCAGCTCTGGGATCGTTGCTTGATATCAAGCACCTATATTTCCCCTTACGTACCGCACAGTGATGAGAGCAGTAATAATTCTTCTGAGTCTTCACACAGGCCGTCGAGAAAAAAGGCACATGGTATAGAAAGACAGAGATACAATTGGCATAAAAACATGCCGTCTTCTACTCGCCTACAATCCATCCTCATGGGCTAAACATACCAAACTAAAAACCCCGCGCAGTGCGAGTAGACACTGCATTACAACAAATGAAACTACATCCAGAGCCAAAAAAACGACTCTTCTCTCATATCCTTCCAACTTCCCGCTTCAGTGGCCATCCGCATTCACCTCGTGCTCCGACCACGCCAAATTCCAGCGGTTAAACGAACTCACCACCCACCGCAACCCTCCCCTCCCCAACAGAGCGACCTCAACACCCAGTCCACCCATGTAACCCGAGAACCAAGTTCCCTCCCATGCAAACCACACACCACCACCACTCGCCCGGACGGTATCCCCAGCCCCTCCAGACCCCAGTAGTCTTCCCAAAAACAACACACCGCCCCTGTCTGGTCCAAATCCCAGCCACTCCACCCAGTCCAAAAAGTCCTCGGTGAGACGTCACATTCGCAACAAGAGCTGTAACTATCACACAAGGCATGTGTGGGAATAGTATCACAACCTCCGCACCGCGTCTGAACTATGTATTCCGCCATTTTCCTATTTCCGCGACGGGGGTGCGAGTAAGTTGGCGGCAACGCAATGCGTGATTCATATACATACCCAGACTTTTCCATTCCTGCGTCCGTGCATGCAGGGTAGGTGTGTAGACACTCTATACCCCTATTTTCAACTCACACCAGCAGTTCATTCACATACAAGATCCGCACACCGTAGACGCAATTTGGATGAGTCTTTGTGAGGACTTGGTTGCAGGTTCATCTCCTAATTATACACCATGGAATCCTCACCACATCCACCTCACCACCAACCCACCATATACCTACCTACCCACTCACCCCACCACACTCATCACAATCTCCTTGGATAAATAGACAACACCCCCATTCCCATCCCCATCCCCAATCCCATCACCACAAACCCCTCAAACCCCTCGACCCCTGGATCGCGTGGGTAGACGCTAGGTGATGTACGGTACGCACTGTACGAGTTGGGTTTGGTGGGGTGGTGGGGTGGGAGATGTTGTGTGGTGAGATGTGTGTGGTTTTAGATGGAGAGAGGGAGGGGGAGGGGAGGGGAGATGGTGTGTATGGTGACGTGTTTGGTGGAAAGTGTGCGTAGGGGTGAAGGGTGGGGAGGTAGTGTATATGTATACATGTATACTTGTGTAATCGCGTGTCTTCACAACACTCACAGCACTAATTCAAGATCGCGAGCACTGCACCGCTAAGCACTGCAATTCCCTCAAGATTCAAAACAATGTATATGGATTATAAACTGAAAGTTCCCAGCCCTCCCACAGCACATCGGCATCCAGAAAATCCACAAGCAACCGACACCACCATTCCAGCGCTAAACCACCTAATAAACATAGAGATTCTCGACCTCTGCGTCCGCGGCCCGCAGCGCCTTGTTCTTGCGCATGAAGAGGATCTTGGCGAGCCAGGCGAGCACGGCGGTGGCGATGGAGAAGGCGGCCGAGGAGCTGAGGGCGATGATGTAGCGGGGGCCGTCGGAGGAGGGCCAAAGGTAGGGGGTCCTGGGGTGGTGGGGTTAGTTGGGGTTGTGAGATTGGAGTGGTGGTGGGGGGGAAGGAAGGGATGGGGGAAAGGTTAGGGTTAGGAGAGAAAAAAAAACATACCAAATAAACGAAGCATTCATCACCGTCGTCACAATCCCAATCGCAACCGCCTTCTTCTCCGGCGTCTGCCCACACGTACTCCCACACCACCCCAAAATCAGCGAATTCACCCCATACGTCCCAATCGTGAAGATGACCATGGCCACATACCGGCCCGCAATGCCAATCTCGGCGCACGCGAGGCCAAAGCCAAAGGTGGCGACCGCCTTGGAAATGGTAATGTGCCAGGTGCGCTCGTTGAAGTGGCCGGACGACCAGGAGACGAGGATGGTGACTACGCCGGCGATGAGGTAGGGGGGGCAGGTGAGGACGAGGGTGATGGTGCGGTTGAAGCCGAGGGTTTGGACGACGGTGGGGAAGAAGTTTTTGAACCCGTTGGCCTGGGGGGGATGGGTTAGTTTTGGCTTGTTGGTGGGCAAGGGCAGGGGAGGGGGAGGGGGGTTCATTGTTGAAGAGGGAGAGGGGGAGTGAAAGAAACACGTACAGCTAAATGCATATGAGCCATGCCCGCGAAAATCCAAACCATAGGATCCTTAGCTGCCTGTTTAAAACCCGCCCAAACCGTCGTGTCGCCCTTATTCCCCACCGTATCCATCGCCATACGGGAGACGGCCAAGTCACGCTCCGGCTGGGTCAACCACCATGTATTATGTGGGAAATCGGGCAGCAGGAAGAAGCCCACGATGGCAATCAAAAAGGTGACGATACCCTGGAGGATGAACAACCACTGCCACCCCGAGATCCCCGCCACGCCGCCGAGGCCGTGGAAGATACCTGCGGCAATCAGGCCTGCAAAGGCAGTGGCGAGAATGTTGCCGGTGTAGAGAATGGCAATGCGTGTTGCGACTTCTTTGCGCGTGTAGAACATGGAGAGTAGGTAGACGGCGCCTGGGTAGTATGGCGCCTCGGTGATGCCGAGGAAGAAGCGAGTGAGTAGGAGGCCGGTGAAGTTGGTAGCCAGGGCGGTAACGGCGGAGACGACGGCCCAAAGCATCATGCAGACGCCCATGTAGCGACTCGGTCGCGTCCGGTTCAGCAGCATGTTACTCGGGATTTGGCCGAGGAGGTAACCAACGAACAGAATAGAGACACAGGTTGAGTACTGCGAGCTGCTGAGGTTGAGCTGTTCTTCCAGATCATCGAGACGGGCGAGGGCAATGGCATTCCTGTCGAGGTAGTTCTAAGAAGCATACAGGGTTAGTCACGGGTTCTCTGTGACATGGCGAGTTGTTTCGAGTATGGGGGTGGAATTTACCAGCCAGTACATGGACCAGAGCATGGGCATGATCCATCGGTCGAGCTTCTTTACGAGCGCGATTTCTCGCGGATCCGTCTTCTTGTGCGCACCAAATTGATCGACTCTTTCTACCCTGGGGACCGATTTCAGCATCTCTGAGTCGTGGGTCTGAGCTCGCTCGAGCATGGCGACCTCGTTCTTCTCTGGAGATATCATCTTCTCTTGAGCCATGGTGGGCCTTGCTGAAAGAACCAGCTTGACCAAGAGAGAAGAAGTAAAGAGTGGCGAAATCCGTCAAGAGAAGAGAAAATATGGGGTACAGGGCAGCCGATCTCCCAAGCCAAAGGGAAAAGATCTGGGGAAAGAACGACTTTTTTTTGGGACCGTGGAGTCCATCTTTATACTAACGTGTGTGGATAGCACGACAGTCACTTTACCCACATTATGGAAGCCGCTATCCCCAGGTTCCAAAGCTGTTCGGCATTCCGAAAAGACACGAGCTTACTGACTCCGTGCGTGCTTCACCACCAAGACACTTGCGCACGCTTCTCCCGGCCGCCTTGGACTACGACGATGAATCTGGCACTTGGGATACCAGGGTACGGAGCCTCGACGTGCGAGTGGCCACTGTGCCGCATGCCAATGCCCGGTGGAGTAGTGTATGTATAAGATGCAGGAATAATTTACACCAGAAGCTGACTGGCATTCCAGCTGTCTTTACAGGCCGCCTCGTGAGTGGGCCCGTCAGACCGAGCAACGGCCTGACAATCGGTGGTTCATTTGTCAAACTAGCACTTGTCGGCTTGCTCGTTTTTCCAGCTCTTGCACTGTGTCTTGAGCATCTGCAAACCGCCTCTCAGCTCAGATGCTCATGGCATGCTGACATGACGGCGTTGCTGGCTCTTGGGAGTGAGTACCTATATCGTCCTTGTTGTCCCTATCCGTTAGACAATTGGTCGAGCGGGAGGGTGTTGACCACGCTCCAGGAAGGTGGCCCGCCAATACCAAGAGTCTCGCGGCGTGATACTCTAGTCCGAGTCTTCGATATTTTGTCGTGATGGCAAGCATTGTTGCTTATGAGTGGTCGGACCGAAGCCCAGACAAGCCTCCCCGTTCTTCGCAGTCTTGTCGCCGCCTAGCTACCTCGATGGAAAGAGGATCGGCAAGCCACAAGTGCTTGGAAATGATGCGCCCCCGAGGTGCCGTGACCAAACGCCATCTAGTCTCTGGCGGGGGGGGGGGGCGGAAAATGTTGCAAAATGTTGTCAATCGAGGGTTGGGGCCAAGTAGGCCGAGAACGGTTCCCAAATCTTGGAAGGGGGGAAATTGGGGGGAAAAAACATCGGACTAACACCCTTGGGGGCCCCTCGGGGGGCTGCTAAACGTTGTGGGATACCCCACGCCTTCCTCCCTGCCACGTGGGTACCGCTTGGTTGTCTGCACCCCCACCCCGTCTGCTCCCACGTCCCCGGTTTTTTCTTCTCCTACTCGGAGTTCTGGAAAAA